GGCAGCGTTTTGCGACCATGAGGCTCTCAAGAGATACATGTTGGGGGCGCCAAACGGCAATTCTAGCTGAGACGTCCCACCAAAATCGGCGCGAACGGGCTCGTGAGATCAGCCAGGGTGGCTCCCCCTTGGGGCTCCCAAATGATGCCCCTGGCAGCGTTTTGTGACCATGAGGCTCTCAAGAGATACATGTTGGGGGCGCCAAACGGCAATTCTAGCTGAGGCGTCCCACCAAAATCGGCGCGAACGGGCTCGTGAGATCAGCCAGGGTGGCTCCCCCTTGGGGCTCCCAAATGATGCCCCTGGCAGCGTTTTGTGACCATGAGGCTCTCAAGAGATACATGTTGGGGGCGCCAAACGGCAATTCTAGCTGAGACGTCCCACCAAAATCGGCGCGAACGGGCTCGTGAGATCAGCCAGGGTGGCTCCCCTTGGGGCTCCCAAATGATGCCCCTGGCAGCGTTTTGTGACCATGAGGCTCTCAAGAGATACATGTTGGGGGCGCCAAACGGCAATTCTAGCTGAGACGTCCCACCAAAATCGGCGCGAACGGGCTCGTGAGATCAGCCAGGGTGGCTCCCCCTTGGGGCTCCCAAATGATGCCCCTGGCAGCGTTTTGTGATCATGAGAGAGTGTGAGCTTGAGCTTAACTTATCTTATCTGATCTTGAAATCTCTTCTTATCATATCTTGTGCTATCTTATCTTATCTTGTAGTATCTTATCTTGTTTTGTCTTATCTGGTGATTATCATTGGGAGGAGGGAGGCGCGAACGGGAGGAAGAAGGAGGAGGAGGAGGAGTGGGAGGCGTCAGAGTAATAACAAGAACCCCATTCCTTAGGATATGGGGAACAATCCTTCATGAAACACTGGTCTTTCAGATGGAGTGCAGATTTTCGGCGGTAAGCGTAATGGACAAATCACGACGTTGGGGTCTGCGTCTCGCCAACCGGGTTGCCCGTTTGTGGCGAGGAGTGCCCGCTCAGCGGCGGTCGTTGTGTCTGTTTGGGGCAGCTTGCTCTTTTCAGGCGTGGCCCCCACCTTTATCGTATCCATATTGCTCGACATCCATGTGCATTGCTTCCGAGGGCCCTGAACTAGGTTTAAATCGGGCCTGTCCCCCTACTGGGGACGTTTTTTTTGTTCTCTTCAATGTTTGAGTATTTCAGTGCACTTGTTTGACTATTTCCATTTTTCGTCTAAAATCCCCCTGTAGGGGGACAGGCCCGACTAAAAACTGGGTTCCCAAGGTGATGGGTACTCATGGAGACTGCCCTCGCACGCTCGCCCCCATGCCGCTCGGTTCCGCCCTCCTGCCGCATTTGTATTTGCGTGTGTTGCCCGTCGCCAGGCCCGCTGGGCCGTCGAGGCCCTCGACGCCGACGGACGAGCCGATCGGTCGAGGGAGGTGCCGATCGGTCGAAGGATCACCCCGAAGTGGCCGGTCGATCGAGGAAGGAGCCGATCGAGGGCCGCACGGTGCTGCCGTCCGTCGCCTCCGCACGACTATGCATCTGCAGTCCTCTTTCCCCTTCGTGCGATTTTTGAATGCGTGCGAGGCGGGGAGGGTCCGAGTGACACAGCCGGGATTCCGCCACTGGCCTCCCCGTTGGTCGTCGCTGTCTGCAGCCGTGTCGGAAGGAGGCCCCGCCCGGCTCGGCTCTGCCGAAGGAGGTCCTGCTAGGGGGCCCGGCACGTTGCCTTACACAGGCGCATCCAACCAACCATCATCGAGGATAAATGAACCTCGAACCAGACGAGCCTAGTGAAGACCTGGCCTCAATTAGGTTTCCGTCTTTGCATTAGGGACAATATATTTGGGTGGTCTGGCTTGGTACATCCGCAGAACAGACCCCATAGCCCTACTGTTTTTGGCCCTCCTAGCTTAGGTCCCCTCCCAAAGGATTAGGGGTCCTTTTTGTCCCTCATCACCCCCCGCTGGCGCGTCTTGTGTTTCTGCGTGTTCTCCTCCTCCTTCTCCTCCTCCTCGTCCTCCTCCTCGTCCTCATCATCCTCGTCCTGCTCCCTCTCCACCAGCTTCTCCTCATCCCGCTCCTCGTCCCGATCCTCTCTGCCCCCCCCCCCCCCCCCCTCCGCCCGTGGCCATCTTGGCTCCAGGCCCGCGCGGCGCCCTCCGAGGCGCCGCGGGGCCCTCCTCGGGCGGAGGCCCCGCGCGAGGCGACGGCTTTTCTCGACGCCCCCGGGGGGGGCGGGCCGCCCGGGAGCACTCTGCTCGAGGCCGCTCGCGGCCGGACTTGTGGGGACGTCTCAGGCGGTCGGCGCGCTGCGGTGCCCACGATTCCTTCGTCTTTGCAGTGCAGTGCCGTTTTTTTATGCATGCTCCGCGTGCGGAACAAGTATCAAGAATACAGGGATATATGAGTAGAAACAACGATGAGCTCATGCATACATTTATCCATCACTTCATCATGTATTCAAAATCGTATATGTTTAAAATCCTACGTAGCACCCCGCAATTGCGGATAAGAGTGAGGGGGCGGGCGCGGGCGACGCGGGCGTCGTCAAGCCGGCGGACCTCGTGGCCCCCACCTTCCCTGTCGATGGCGCTCTCCTCCTCCTCCTCCGCCTCCTCCTCCTCCTCCTCCTCCGCCTCCTCCTCCTCCTCCTCCTCTTCCTCGTCCTCGTCCTCGTCCTCATCGTCATCGTCGTCCTCCTCCTCCACCTCGTCCTCCTCCTCCTTCTCTTCTTCCGAGGCGTGGGCTCCTCCTCCTCTTCTTCCTCGTCCTCCCTCTCCCCCCCTCGTCCTTCCATCATCGTCCTCCCATGGTCGTCATGTTCCTCCTCGTCGTCCTCCTCCTCTTCCCCCACTCCCGATTCTCCCCCCTCCTCCTTTTCGTCGTCGTCGACGTCGTCGTCGTCGTTCCCTTCCTCCTCCTCCTCCTCCTCCTCCTCCTCCTCCTCCTCCTCCTCCTCCTCGTCCTCGTCCTCCTGCAAAAGCAGCCCGCCGCAGGCGCCGACGAATTTGGTTTGTACCCTGAACGTGGTTTGGGTCGCGGGTGGGCCGCGGGTTCTCCACTGGGAACGAATGCAAAAGATGCCGGCCGCAGGCGCCGAACAAATTTGTTTGTACCCTGAACGTGGTCGCGGGTGGGCCGCGGTCTCTCCACCTAGAACGAATGCAAAATATGCCCGCCGCAGGCGCCGAAAAATGTGGTTTGTACCCTGAACGTGGTTTGGGTCGCGGGTTGGTCGCGAGTTGGTCGCGGGGTGGGTCGCGGGCTCTCCACCTGGAAGGAATGCAAAAAAAGCCCGCCGCAGGCGCCGAAAATGTTGGTTTGTACCTTACGTGGTTTGGGTCGAAAGTGGGTCGCGGGTGGGTCGCGGGGTGGGTCGCGGGGTGGGTCGCGGGTGGGTCGCGGGGTGGGTCGCGGGTGGGTCGCGGGTGGGTCGCGGGTGGGTCGCGGGTCGCGGGTGGGTCGCGGGGTGGGCCGCGGGCGGGTCGCGGGGTGGGTCGCGGGTGGGTCGCGGGTGGGTCGCGGGTGGGTCGCGGGGTGGGTCGTGGGGTGGGTCGCGGGTGGGTCGCGGGTGGGTCGCGGGTGGGTCGCGGGGTGGGTCGCGGGGTGGGTCGCGGGGTGGGTCGCGGGTGGGTCGCGGGTGGGTCGCGGGTGGGTCGCGGGTGGGTCGCGGGGTGGGTCGCCGGTGGGTCGCGGGGCGGGTTGCGGGTGGGACGACGACAACAAACAACAACAATAAACAACAAACAACATCAACACGAATCCGCATCGCGGAATCCCACTTCAGCCACGCACCCAGGGACAGTGAATGACCGTTCGGCCCCCTCACTCTGATGTATTCAAGAAACTGCCCTGTAGCGTATGGGAGTATCTCGAGCGAGGGCTGGCTTCCCCACCCCAAGTGGGGCAGCCACGGGGCAGTGCGCCGGACCATGCTGTTGCGGCTCTTCTGTTTTCAGAGTAGACGATGATGAGGAAGGCGCTGGCTTCACCACCCCAAGGTGAGGCCGCCATGGGGTATTGCGTGGAACCGCTCGTGGTGAGAATGCTGATCTGTTTCAGGCGGTTTGCGTTTTTCGGAGCCCCCGATTCATGTGTCGGCGCCCCCGATTCATTTTCTGCCAGAGTAGATTAGGATGACGCCTCGAGCGAGGCGCTGGCTTCAGCACCCCAAGGGGAGGCCGCCAAGGGTATTGCTCAGGATTTCGCGGCCAGTCTGTTGAGATGTCTCAAGCGGTTTGCGTGTTTCGGCGCCCCAGACCCATGTGAATTCAAAGCAGAATGTGAGGGTGTCTGGAGCGAGGCGCTGGCTTTAGCACCCCAATCGGGAGACGCCCAAGTCCGTTCGCGCGTAACTTGCAGGGATTTGTCAGGTCCTTGGTTTGACGCCCCTGATTTTTGCGCTGTCATAGCAGAGTGATAGGATGTCTCGCGCGAGGCGCTGGCTGCAGCACTTGAAGGGGGGGCCGCCAGGGGCCAGGGGTGGTTGCACTCCCCGTTCGCGGCCAGATTGTGGGGATGTCTCAGCTGTTTGGTTGCTTGGACTTCTCTGTTTTCAAGACAGGTGTTGAGGATGTCTTGAGCGAGGCGGTGGTTCCAGCACCCCCAGCAGGAGCCGCAAGGGGTGGTTGCAATCCTCCGCTCATGGCCAGATTGTGGGGATGTCTTCTCCTCCCGTCTTTCATCCCTGAGTTCTCCTCATCCTTCTCTTTTCTTCCTCTCTCCATCCTCTTCCTCCCTCCTCCTTCCTCCTCCCTCTGTTCCTCCTCCTTCCTCTCTTACCGCTCCTTCGTTCGTCCTCCTGGACGGTGTCACAGCGCGAAGGCGGAATATGGATGTGGCAGCACGCTTCGCGACTTACCGATGCCACTCTTGTTCACATGCTCCGGGCTGGTAGGGCGAGGCGGTCGCGACCAGAAGAGCTGTCATATATTTTTCCTCCGATATCACCATCGCCTCTCCTTCCTTCCTCGAATACGCGCGCAAGCCCAGCCATCCCATAACAAGATAAAACCTGCCTTTGCTTCTACCCCGCCTGGGCAAACAAATCGGCACGCCTCGATCACGCACGCGCAGGGCCACGGCGGTGACACTCTCATCCGCGCTCTCGGCGACGCGGCCTGCCAGATCCTGGGCGATGTCGCGCCATTCTAAGGCCGCCTCCGAGCCGCCAGCTGGTGACAGCTGTGCAGGAGCCAGCTGTTACACAAATTTGTGCTCGCGTTGAGCACGCTTCTCGTGAATTTCAGTCGTGGTCTACCTATGTCTTATGATGAGTTTTCGTTTGGGCGAAGCGGGCTTCGTTGGCCACCTATTGCAACTTCGACGCCGATTGGCCAAGGGCCTTTCTTTCATCCTTACCTTGCACCCTTCTCATTGGCCATGGCTGTAATTCATTGCGAGTCTGCCCTCGCCGCAGACAGCATCTGGCCACCCCGCCCGTGCCTTGCCAGGGCCGTCCTGGGCCCCAGGATGATACCTGAATTTTCTTTGACACCATGCCAGGGCCCGGGACGGACCAAAGATTTTTTGGGGGGACCAGCGAATTTTTTGGGGACCAGCGAATAATTGTGGGGGGCCAACGAGTTTTTTGGGGACCAAAGAATTTGTTGGGCAAGGTACGGCCGTGAGGAACACGACAGATTCGCGCCGCGTTGGCGCGGCGGCGACCCCGGCGGTGGCGCTCAAGGTTGGACGCCGCTGATGGCCTGGAACTGGCTGGTGTCGAACGGCCCGCGACACCAGCAGGGCCCGACCCTTGATGGGCCTGGAACTGGCTGGTGTCGAACGGCCCACCACAACCACCATTAGTCGGAGGGGGAAGGAGGTGGAAGATGAGGAGGAGGAGGACGGAGAGGAAGAGTTGGAGGATGAGGAGGAGGAGGACGAAATGGAGGAGGAGGAGGAAGAGGAGGAGGAGGAGGAGGAGGAGGAGGAGGAGGAGGAGGAGGAGAGGGAGAAGGAGGAGGAGGAGGAGGACGAGGAGGACCCCCTACCCCTCGTACTTATGGTGGTGGCGGTGGAAAACAAGCCCACGGATCCTTCTGGGCTGAAGCGGCCCACGCGTTGTCTGAGACGCACGCCGACGCCGCCAAGACGTGAGCCTGCCGTGGGGGGCCCTCTGCCTGTTGCTGCCTTCCAGCCGGCGTGGTATACCCCGTGGTCGACAGCCCACTTTCTAACTCTAGCTGCTCATCCTGCTCTAATTCATCGTCTACCTCCTCCTCCTCCTCTTCCTGATCTGATCCTTCATATTTCCCTGATCCTCCTCCTCCACCTCCTCTTCCTCCTCCTCTTCCACTGTGCATGGCCAGCCTACTACCAGGCCCTGTGCCTACTGCTGCCGTGAGGTTTCATTCGGCACTGGTGCTGGTATATCCGTGGTCGACCACTGGCCGCATCCGGCGTACTCCTGCGAAGTCCCGCGCAACCTGCCCCAATCGGGTTGAATCCTGGGCCTCATCCTGCTCACGTTGGCTCCATGGCCCATTCTCGAACGGGGCTGGGGCGCGGATACATCCGTTCCAGAGCGTTTCGGAACGCCTTCAGAGCGTTTCGGAGCGCTCTGAGGAGGCCGCGGCGCCCAAAGACATCTTCCAGAGTCGCCGGATCTCAGAGGTCCTGGATTTGATCCCCACCCGAATGTATTCTCGTCCTGGCTTCGTCTTGATCGTTCCTCTGGAGACCTCCCAGAAGTTGCCTCCTGAGTGCTGCCACCCAGGAGGGCCTCAGGGGTGCACGAAACATGTCATTGGGGGCAGGGGCTCACGGTGGCCGGGGGCGGGGGGGGCCTGGATCTCGGCCTTCCGGGAAAAAAAGTCCGCCGAATCTAGATTTTGTCATTCATTTGTGGCATGCGTTTTCGCTGAAAACGGGGAAACCGCGCAAACGGTGTCCGTTCGCTATCTCGCGATCTCGCCGACCGAAAAGTGCTTGGATGTTACAGCGCGGTGGAGTCGCACGAGGCGCTCATATGGCAGGCCGGTGTGCCGTGATGCCGACCCGCCCTGGCGAGACCTCGTCATAAGCGCAGCAAACAGAGGGGGACATGCTGTCCTCCATCTCCGTCGGAAGGAGAATGACGAGAGCGAGGACAAGGAGGAGGAGGAGGAGGAATGCCCGTGGTGACACAGTCTGCAGTCTCAGGTCCCAGGATGAATACCAGAAGGACGTCCCTTTGAAGAGGGTCGGGGTAGGGGGTAGGGGGTGGGGGTTGAGAGGGGAGGGGCGACGGGGCATGCGGAGCTTTTGTTTTTGGCCGCCAGCTTTCAGGCTTGCCAGCACCCGCCCGCCTTCTCCTTGGATGGGCGGAGCGGGCAAGTTGGTTCCCCTTTGGGGATTGCGCACGGTTTTTTCGCACGGCGCCCTGGGCGAAAAAAACGGCGCGGTGCGCGCGAGGCCACGAGGCGTCTTCTGGGGGGAGAGGGGGTGCTTTGCTCGGAGGCGGGGGGGACCTTTGGATCCTGGCCCTTTGTCAACCAATGGCACATCCAGGGTTGATGGTAGACGAATCACTTGTACTGCCGTAGAAAACTAGTAACCGTGTAAACGCGCCCGCGTTGCAGATTGGTGTAAGCCTCGCGAATCGGACGGTCGAGCAACATTTTGCTTTACAAATCGCCAGAGTCGCAGGAGGCACAGGCGCCTGTGACTCGCCAATGTTTCACGGTACCCATCCGCCCGGGCGAAAAATGATCGCAAACGCAAGCGACCCCAATGCAGGAGGAGGATGCAGAAGAAGAGAAGAAGGAGAGGAGGGACAGTAGGAGAAAGAGGAGGGGGAGGAGTAGGAAAAGGATCATGAAATTTGAACACAGAGGATGAGGACACAAAGGGGGAAACACAGGGGGGTTGTGTTGATGATGGTGAGGAGGAGGACGAGGAGGAGGAGGAGGAGGAGGAAGAGGAGGACGAGGACGAGGACGAGGCACAAGAAGGATGATCAAGAGGAAGGCGTCGGAAGAGACGGCGATGGAAGGAGGGTGGATGGGGAGAGGCGAGGTGGAGGAGGGCCTCCCTCGTCCGTCGCCGCCGTCGGCGACTGCGTGCGATTGTGGCGACCGCGACGGTTTCCTCCTCCTCGTCCTCCTCCTCCTCCTCCTCCTCCTTCTCAACCCCCTTCCTCCTCCTCCTCCTCCGTAGCAATTGTGGCTCAAGATGTCATGCTCCTCAGGGGAACAAGTGGATACCGCTAGTCCGCGGCGAGCAAGACCCCTGGGGTCTGGCAGCGCGCTTCTCCACACCTGCGCTCGAGTTAGTGGGTGAACGGAGGCATTTCCCGTTCCTGCCCTCTCGAACGCCCAGAGACATTCATGGGCGGTGTCCGCAATGGCGGACAGCAGGCAGTCCGCGGCCCCAAGAGGAATATCAAGAAGGCTCGCCGAGGTCAAGCTGATGGTGCTGCTGTCGTTGATGACGGCGATGATCAGGCTGCTGGCTCAGACACTCCTGTCCCTCCTGCTATCGGGGTTTCCTCCACTGCGGCCCCTGCTGCGGGGGATGATGATGACGAGGACGTCAACAGCGAGGACGAATGGACTAAAGACGATTACATCAAGCAGCTGGCTGGGGACTACGTATCCAAGAAGATGACCGAGCACAGGGACGAGCTCATCCGGGACCTCATCAAGGTGGTCTCTGCGACGGTCCCCGACCAGATCCAGGATTTTGCCGCTCAGCTTACTGAGCACTCTCGTGCTGCTGGGAAGTTGGCGGAAGGAGTACAACAGCTTCCAGCTATGGCCAAGCAAGCATCCGAACAATTTTGCTCCGAGAAGCTGGATGCTTTCTACCGCAAGTTCCAGGAACAGTTGGACGGCCACTCAGTTCGACTTCGTGCCGTTGAAAACAGGTTCGATGGCCGCGACTCTGAACTGCAGACACTTCGAGAGCACATTCAAGAACTCCGCGCTGCCCTCGCGGTTGCCAACGTCCAGCCCAAACCACCTCCCGCTAGCGCTGCAGGCTTTGACAGGGATACCGACGCAACGATCATCCGCAGCATGGCTTCCAAATTGGTGGACTTGTCTGCGGTACAGCGAATCATGTCGGACTGGGTCGTCAGCTGCGGGATCAAGGCCGAGTTCTTCACGATCTCTTCCAGCGAGCAAGTCGCCAAACAGTTCGCGGTCCAATTCTCTGGGGCAGCAGGACCTGCGGCTCGTCGTGTCTCTCAGGTTCTCGGCGCTCAGCGGCTCGCCCCTGGCCAATGGAAAAGATTCGAGGTCATGGCCATGGACGAGCAGACGGCGACGCTCCACATGGCGCGGACAAGGGTCCCCGACAAATCAGGCTGGAGATCCAGGGCCGCAAGCTCAGGGAGGCCTTCAAGAACGTGGCCCCCGACAAGAGATGGTTCTTCGACCGTGACAGGGGCTGCCTCATGGCGGGGTGGGGCCCGGTGCTCCGTCTCTCTCCCAACCCTGGGAACATTCCCTCGGAGGTCGCGCGGGCAGACAACATTGCGCAGAAGCTGGCGCTCCCGAAGGATCAGCTGGCGGAGGCTGTCAGAGGCATCATCTCTCCGCCTGGGGCTGCAGAGTGGTCTCTTTAATGGGCTTGCTGCAGCTATTCATGGACGTTTGGCGCGCCCCCCGTCGTTCTCATTCTCCTCTTGGAATGCCCGCGCTCTTCTTCAGTATCATGGGCATGCTGCTCGGCCGAAGCTCGCCTACCTCAAAAGGCTGAACTTCACTTGCGGCAGTGTCGCCATCCAAGAGGTTCACCAGGGCAAGAAGCAGCTCATCGACTTCCTCTCCAAGGTTGCACCACACGCGAAGGCCCACGCCAGCTACTGCGAGGGGTCTGCAGTACGGGGCGGCGTTGCCACCATCATTCCCGCTGAATTCCGCGCTGGGGTCCCTCGGCGATCTTTAGTCCCTGGTAGAGTGCTACGAGTAGCCCTTCAACTGGACGGCTCCTACGTTCACTATCACAATGTGCACAAACACGACCTGACCATTGCCCAGCTCAATGGAGTGTCGAAAGATTTGGTTGCTGACCTGAAGGCGGCTCATCTGGATCCTCTTCGCCATGTTGCCATTCTTCATGGGGGCCTCAATTTTGCTCCACGTGCTCCTCTCCTTCCTCGCCAACCTCGCCGCCGACTCGCCCAAGGTAAAGGACAACGCGCCAGAGCCGCACATTGGACCCCGGCGCTGAAGACCACGATGGAAACCTTTTCTGGCGAGCC